CTGGTGAAGTCTTTTGATGTACATAAGTTTTTAATTTTTAGTATGTCCCACTCATCTATTGTATCTATTTTTGTTTGTGTGGTTTTCAAAATGTTTTGTAGTCCCCTCATGAACTTCTTGAATTGCAGGAGCCCCCAGAGATTTCTCCCCTTTGTGTTCAATAACTGCACTGCTTGTTTTTACAATATGTAACTCCACAATGCCCTGCTGATAACAGACACTTTTAGCTCAAATGAAAAAGCAAGTGACAAAAGATTAAATAAATGACCAATATGCAGAGACACAAAACATTTCTGAGGAAGAAAAGATAATGGAACTAACTGAAAAAGAATTCAAAAGAATGATAATTAGATACTTCCAAAGGATCGATAAAAAGATCAAGGAAAGCAAGGAGAACACATACACACAAAAAAAACTTTAGAAAATTTCAGAAGATTAATCCTAAGATCTCAGAAATGGATAATACATTGAAAAGGCTCCCACAGAGATTTGTACCTTTGGAAACTCTATACAGAGTTGCTATGAGTCAGAACCAACTCAACAGCACTTAACAACAACTATATATATATATAATAAAAACAAAACTTGGGGTGAACTAAGAAATAGAAAGAAACCCATTGTGATTGTATTTGGATATTATTTGTTGGTTTGCTGCCTTCTCTAGAATGTAATCATCTTCATGGCCATAGGCACTGTGCCAGTCTCATTCACTGCTGTTCACCAGTGCTCAGCAGAGTGCCTGGCACACAGTGGGCCCTCAAAAAGTGTTTACTGAATTGAAAAATTAAGGATTCAATTCATGAACAAAAATACTTTGAGGCAAGAACAAAATAAGAAAGGCATTTTTGCACAATGAAGTCTTAATCTTGTTCTGAAAAGGCTAGTGAGTGGAGTAAAGAAAACTAAATGAAGTATAATGCCTGGGAAAAAAAGGGACAAATATCACACTATTTGAAGGTTGTTGTTGTTACGTACCATGGAGTCGATTCCGACTCATAATGTCTCTGCACAGGCTTTCCGAGGCTGTAAATCTTTATGGGAGCAGAAAGCCTCATATTTCTCCCATGGAACGGCTGGTAGTTTCGAACTGCTGACCTTGCGGTTAGCAGTCCGATTCATAACCACTACGCTATCAGAGCTCCTTATTTGAGGGTAATATAGCTAAAAAGTCATAATGAGAAAAAGTATTAGAGCCAATATGACTAATGTCTGAATATAAGACAAACAAAAAGCCAATAGCGTCCATGTATGCCAACAATAATCAGATTATGCACTGCAACAGAAGGAAAACACAGGATTGATAGAAAATATGCTTCCCAAATGGAGAAAAGGGATAGGTGTTAATGAGAAAACCTGCACCAGGGTAATAATCTGAAGGAGGGAAGGGTTTTAATATTTCCCCTGGTCTGGGATCTCTCAGTCATTGCAGCAGTTCAACACTATCTTTGTGAGTGATATAGGGAGAAGGAGATTAAAGCTAGATAGCACTCCCTCTAGCCACCCACTCCCTGTTCTGAGCCCTAGGGATTTCTGGCACAGGAATCTTCTTCTTTGCCCTCAGAATGAAGCCAAACCTCCCAACCACAGCTTATATAGTACTGAGTGATGGACCCTGGCCCCACAACCACCTGAATAGAGATCTCCTGGAGATCTAGATATGAGTGGAGAAATCATAAGCCTGAGTTGCATTGTCCCAGGAGGGGGTGGTTCTACAGAGAGGAGTGGTGAGGAGCCACTTTCTGGGGAGGAAAAAGAAGCAGGGCCTACAAGAGACCCTAAAGAGAGGTGTGACGTATGGTAGGAGGAAACTGAGGGTATAGGGGTGAATCTTTGAAGACACCAGCAGAAGTTCACTTGAATGTGCAAAAAACTCAAAATCATGAAAACTACTAGGCTTACTGGTTGGATAGAGACTGGTGGAACCCCTAAGACTATGGTCCATACTCACCCTTCAGGCCTGGAACTGAACTCACTTTTGTGGCTCAATTTTCAGCCAAACAGCAGATCTTGGTCTGGAAGCTCTGCTGAAACCTGCCCACCATAGATAACCCTACTGGTATTTGAAATACTGGTAGCATAGCTTTCAGCTTCACAGCAACGTGCAAGTCACTACAGTATGACAAAAGGTCCTTGCTCTTAGAGGGAGCAATGATGCAAGACCCATGTTCTATCCTGGCTCTCAGAGACCTCAGCAAGATGTGGCCCAAGATACCACAGTGATAATTTATTTGATGGCACACTGTTAATTGACTTCTTTCCCTGTCTTCTTGCCACTCTTCTGCTGGTGCTTACTGATTGGCTTCACCTTCCACATGAACTACATGCACTCATTTCATTGTCTCTGGGTCTGCTTCTGGAGAAACCAAGACACTAAAAGAAGGATGAGACAGTGTAGGGGCATAGAAAACTGTGAGGACATCTCACAAATGATCGCTGACCTATATAAATGGGCTTCCAGATGTGACCGGACAAGAGATCTCTGAATTTTCATAGGATTGGCTGGGCCAGGGTCCAGGTCTGAGGTAGTCAGGTCCATGCCACACCAACTTGCTTTTTGCCTGATCCCAGAGTTGGCTAGAATCAGGTTCAGGACTCTGAAGATGGATTATCAAAGCACCAGTGGATAAGACCAGTTCAACCTGCCTGGGAGGTTCCCTGGCTTCTTTGACTCTTCAGCTCATCCAGCTGCTCAGGCTTAACAGTCCCAGCCCCCACCCACTTTTCTCCACTCCCGTATCATTCCCTTCTCTCTCCCAGGCCTGTTGAAGAACCTGTCAGAAGCTGAAGTCCACACTGCCTGCTATCCCACTGCCACTGGCCTCAACGTGTAAACAAACCATTCTCTTCCCTCTTTGTGCCTGGTAAAGGGCGTCCCAGTCGGCTGTTCCCATCAGAGGCCCAGACCACGCCTAGAGCGGCCTCCAGGGGGCGCCGCCGCGAAACCATTCATTCGGCTGCTCTGAACTCAGCTGCGATGGTTGGGTGCGGGCCGCTAAGTCCCGGGGTTCGGCAGGCTGACGCCGCCGGCTGCCCGCGCTTCCAGGTTGGGTGAGGACAGGCCCCCACTACACACGTGTTGTGATGTTTCCCGCGGCCTCATTTCTTCACCCGCCTGAGGTCTGAACCGAAATTCTGGGCAGGCCCAGTGTTCACATGTCCGGCTGTCTGTCCACGCGTTTGCGTGCAACCGTGGGTCCGCTCGCCTTGGTCTGACCGCGGCAGACGCAGGGTTAAGGCGCGGGGGAGGCAGGTTTCCCCGAGTCTGGAAGTGGGGCGAGGGGTGGACCCGGTCCAGCCCCGCCCCGTGCAGGAGCCTAGCAGGAGTCTGGCCTCTGCTCCAGCCGGAGCCCACGCCGGCGCCAGAGGAGCCAGAACGACGGACCCCACGCCCCGGGAACGCCGGAGAATCCCTGACCAGTAAGTCCCTCGCGAGTCGCGTTTGGGGAAGTTTGGGGCACGGGGCGCTGAGCCCCAAGCGCGCTCGCGGAGACCCGCCCCTCCTCGAGCAGGATGTGAAGTTTGGGGCCAGGAGGCCTTCTGATGGTCCCAGCAGTGTGACCCCTGCGGGAAAGAGGAGGATGGGGAGCTTGAGCATCTGCGGTGGGGGACCCAGAAATCTAGCTGCCCATTCCTCTGGGACTTTAGAGTTCCAGGTTTCTGGATATCAGGGAATCTGGCTTTTGGGAGAGGGGAATGGGCAGACCCCTAAGGGTGTAACTTAAGGAGAATGTGTGGGACCCTGGCACCCTGTCTCCTAGTTTCAAGCACTACAGATTCTGACCTTTTGATGGTGGACTAGATAACACTGGTGTCTGGCTCCTGGCAGCATGTGGGAGAACCCTGATGGTTGGATCCCAGGTTGTACCAGGGAATACAGAAAGCCAGTGAGAGGGAGAGTGCTGTGACACTCCCCTGGTGCAGGGCCTGAAAGAAGGTTGCTGGCAGTAAGGGGAGGGGGCTAGGGTAAAGAGTCTTGTGACAGTCATCTGCCTGTCCCAGTTACCTCACCTCCCACCTAGGCACACTTGACCAAGGTGCTCTTCCTGAGTGAGGGCCAGGAGCAGAGAGATGATTTATGTTCCATAGGAAGGGCTTGGTATCTGGAGGCCTGCCTTCCTTTCTACTCCAGGAGCTCCTTCACTGTGGTGGTGGTAGTGGTGGCAGGCTAGCTCCAGGAGGTGGGTCCTTGTCCTGCTGTTCGTCTGTTCCATGAAAGACTGGTCAGTGGCTCTGACTCTGTGTTTTCCCTCTCCTCCAGGTGAAAGCAAGGTCTCTGGATTGGCCAGACGCCCCCTTGATGGCCTAGCAGTGTCAGGATGAGGTCCTATCATGCCCCCCCACTGAGACTTGCAGCCTGATCAGATAGCATGGCCTGCCATCTGTGGTGAACACCATGGCTGCAGGTGGTGGTCGAGCCTTTGCTTGGCAGGTGTTTCCCCACATGCCTACCTGCCGGGTTTATGGCACTGTGGTAAACCAGGATGGGCACCTACTGGTTTTGGGGGGTTGTGGCCGGGCTGGGCTACCCCTGGACACTACTGAGGCATTGGACATGGCCTCGCACACATGGTTGGCACTGGCACCTTTGCCCACTGCACGGGCTGGTGCTGCTGCCGTTGTGCTTGGCAAGCAGGTGCTAGTGGTGGGCGGCGTGGATGAGAGCCAGAGCCCAGTAGCTGCTGTGGAAGCCTTCCTGGCTGATGAGGGCCGCTGGGAGCGCCGGGCCACCCTCCCTCAGGCAGCCATGGGGGTTTCAACTGTTGAGAGAGGTAAGTGACCTTGGGCTTAGGGCCAACCTCTCAAGGAAGACCCTTCAGGTACCCCAACACTTCTTTCTTCACTTGGTTCTTTACCCTTAATGATTAGACAAGAACTATATTTTTACTTGGATGTTCTGGACATGGCCTTGTTTCCTGTACTCTCACTCAGGCCCAGCTTTGAGTTGTGCCTGAAGCAGCCTTCTCTTAGCTGCCTTTTTTGGCTCTGAGGTGGGGGAGGAGTCCTGGATAGCCCCTATGATGACAGGAGGCCCCAGATGCTTTCCTACCCCATTCCTTATCCCTAGCAGACAAGGGAGTTATAAATAGTCTAGGAGAGGGGGAGGGGAGTAAGTCTCCCGCCCCATTCCCCCCTGCCCCACTCCCAGGATCCTGAAGTGGACCAAGGCCAAGCTAGCTTAGGGACAGTTGCAATGGAAGCCCCTAGCTGTCCCCATCTGACCCTGAGGGCTTAAAAACAGAGCAAGAACTACTCAGTGAAAGGGCATGGGGCAGAGGTACTGTCAGAGCTTCTGGAGCAGAAGGCTTGTGGCTAGTACCTCCCCTACTCTGCAGGTGTCTGCCCCAGACCCTAGCCACTCTTCTAGTCCCCCACCCCACGTTCATCCCAGAGCCTCCTTCTCAGACCTCATTATGCCCCCCATCCCTGACTTAAACCCTCCCCCAGAGAGCCCCCTGGGGGCTCTAGGTCTGACCACAGGTCCAGGCTAGCCTGGCTTAGATGCCAAGCTTGGTTGCCATAGTGTCTCCAGGGAAACAGAGCCAGATTATAATTAGATCGTCTGCTTCCTGCTCTTCACTTGGAGGGGCCAAGACTAGAGCGGGAATCCCAGCTTTCCCAGCCCCCACATTAGGAGAGCAGCAGGGCCTCTTGCTGCTGGGGAGGGCTGTAATGAACAAGTGAGTTCCTGGTTTGCCCAGGGAGGCTCTCAGAGTAGGGGTGCCCTGGGCAGACCGGGTATGCCGTCTAAATCCCTGTTTTCTATGCAGATGGTATGGTGTATGCTCTGGGAGGAATGGGCCCTGACACGGCCCCCCAGGCCCAGGTACGGGTATATGAGCCCCGCCGGGACTGCTGGCTTTCACTACCTTCCATGCCCACACCCTGCTACGGGGCTTCTACTTTTCTGCATGGGAACAAGATCTATGTCCTGGGTAAGGGCCTCGGGGCTGTGGGAAAGGGATTCAGAACCCAGGCATCCTCATGAGTTGGCTGGGTAGGGATCAGGTTTAGTCTGGGAGGACAAGTCAAAAGAAACTTTGTTGGGGTGAGTCAGGCCTTCTCTGCTAGTGACTCTACTGGGATTGGGAAACCAAACCCCAGTACCTGAGGGTCTGTGGGGTGGATGATCCATGTTCAGGTGTGCACAGCCATGGATGGAAGGGTAGTGTGGAAGTTCAGCAAGCTGATAACTTAGGAGTCCTCCTGGTCTTCT